TTATTTGTTAAGTTTATTTCTTTGTTTCTTTTTTTTTTTTTGAAAACATTTTAAAATTTTCCTTATACAACAACAACATTAACATCGACGACGGCGGCAGTGGCAATAACATCAACAAACTTTTCTTACTGAATAATGCTGTGAAAAATGACTATAACCAACGGTAAAAACAGAGCATAGTTTTTCTGATGTATTTATCGAAACCGCTAAGCTGGTCTGTTGCTGTTACGGCGATGCAACAGCTGGATAAATTCCATCATCGTCGTCTTCATCACTTGAGATCGAAACATTCTATTCTTAACTGTCCCGTATTGCCTGTGTATCGTTCTCAGTGACCACAATATGTCAGACATAGCTAAGCAGTATTTTTTTTATTTTTGGTTTACATTGTTCAAACACATCTGGTTTGTCTATTACAGCATATTAAATTCTGATCAATCTATCAAATGTAGTTTATAATAGTTTAGGATGATAGTGGCAAAAGTTGAGGACTTACTTAATCTCAGATGCTTAAAGAAATCTTAGATGTTACCTGTTTTGCATAGCAGCTTCCTCTATACAATAGTTAAAGTTAACAATAATATTATGAATTTTTTAAAATAATATCAGCAACTCTGTTGTTCGTGTTGCTGCTGTTGCTTCTACTTTTTTTTTTTCGGTAATAATGGCATTTTTGTTGGATATCTTTACGCATTAACTATGTTTTATAAAACTGTTTATGTGCTTTTTTTCTCCTTTTATGTATGTATATGTAGATATTGGTATGCTGTTTGGTCAAAAGAATGTTAGTTGAAAAATGTATATTATATGCGTATCTGATCACTAAAAAAATGGAGAGAAGGAAAGGAAAGCAACAAAAATTTAAATATATATAAAAGAACTTTTCTGTATATTTTCTTTACTTCTTTCTTTTCGTTTTTTTTTTTTTAAATTACTAAAAAAACTTTTGATGCATTACTGGTTTTTCTATATATCAAAAACAGCAGGTAAAGTTGGTTGAGGACGGAGTTGGGAAGGAGTGAGGAACGGGAAAGGTTATTTTATATAATTTTTTCGATAATTTTCTTTTGGTTTTGTTCTGTATTGTTTTGCA